GTGCAACTTCATCATGCATGATCATAGTCATCCCCTCGAAGTTCTGTGCAATCTATAACATATATATGGTCACAGATCAACCAATATGAAGAAATATGACTATCAAATAACTAGGCGAGCATACATGTGTTTTCTGCTTCTCATCGGCTCCACAATCCCCGGCGACTACGTCGTCCGCATGCACAGGTGAGAGAAACGGCTGTCTGGCCATGTCGTTCACTAAGGCGGGTGAAGAAAGCACCGGAATCCTGGCGGCTGCGGTGCGCATGGCGGCGATCCGATCTGGCGAAGGAAGACGAAGCCAGAAAAAGATTTCGCTTTTGCTGGAGCCGAGTCCGCGTACGGCATCCCTGCCGCCTCGAAGCGAAGCCGGCTGATCGTTCGAGCAGGAGCCGACTCGAGCGAGCCGAGATGGGCCTTTTCCTGGTGCGGATGGAGCCGTGCAGACGCGCCGTCAGATCAGTCTCTCGTCCACGCGTCACCAATCTGGATCGGGTATGCACGGTGCGGGGTTTGCAGCCGGTCTGCACATCTACCAGGTACCACCAATAAAAGCCTAAAGATTGAGAAATTAGTAGCTATTTTGCAAGATCCTCCCATGGCCTGACAGCTTGTTGTTTGTTTTTTGAAAAAACCCTTGTTTTTTCTTCGAAATATAATGCAAAGGATGAAAATTCCCTTTATAAGGATACTATTGTAAAAGTAAAGTACATGGGTGTTTCTAAAATACTCTCTTCGTCCCATAGAAAACCAATCTATAATAGGATGCGACGTTTACTAGAACAATGGATTTGGGCAGAGACATGTTTAGATTCATTGTACAAGAAAACGTCGCATCCTATCCTATTGATTTTTATTGGGACGGAGGGAATATCTTGCACTCACCCCATAGCCATCAATCCCCTCACCCTGACTCACACCGTGGCGGTGCCTCTCGGTTATGTTACCTTGATACTTTATGACATTTTCTAAGAAACATGAATATAGAAAATTAAATAAGTGCAAAAATAGTGGGTCTAATGCATTACCACTCAAGCATCCATCAATCAAAATACATCGCATCTAACAAGATATGGCACTTGTAGTCTTGTACCAAGAAAATTACAAAGGGGAACAACTTTTAGATAAGCCTGGATTGGAAGGAGAGTAGAGCAGAAGAACAAAAAAAGTACTAGGCAGTAGGTACAATAGCAGACTATAAGCCAGCTATAAACACATTTCTAGGAGATAAAATAGGAGAGAGATGAGCAACGGGCTACAAATTTATAGCCAGCTGTAGCACGGACTCCAAAATACATGTGTGTATAACAGGTGAGACCATATACATGTGTATATAACAGGTGAGACCATATATTAATTATGTAGTATATATATTTATAGGTAACTATTATATAAATTAGCTATTAAGTTGACTATAAATAATTTGAAGCCAACAATTGACTATACTATTAAACTTGCTCTTAGTCCCATCTCTATAACATTAGATGAAAGTCCAACGGTCAATATCAGTTTCTACAGTGAAATGTGCTACCGTACACCATACGACCTGTCGTACATAAGGTTACTGTTTCTACCGCAAAATAACTATCGCTAAAGACTCAAGACACTGTTGTAACAGTGCCTTTCTGCTGTTACAGCAGAGGACCTGGTTGCCGAGGATACCGTCCCCCGTGCGGCGTGCGCGACCAAGCCGCCATGGCCGAGCTCTGACACTCGGCGCGTCGAGGCGATAGGCGTACGGTTTGACAATTCAGGGCCTGAGCTTGCATAGTTGCATTGCATCCTCTGCTCCGATGGAAGAAGCTACAAATGCCGGCCCGAGAATATCCCTACGATTAATTCCGTCGCGCTCTCCGCCCGCACGCGCGGCGTGGCGCGGCGCGGCGCGGCGGCGTCTCCTACAAATGGCGAGCGCCCGACGGAGAAGAGAGCTGAGGCTTATCGAGTCCGAGGCTTCTGAGCCTGCTTGTTGCCGCCGCTACTGGCTGCCGATCTGCTGCAGTTGGGGGGGTCTCCCATGGCGGCGGAGGTCGGGATTGGAAGGGCGACCTGCGCGGCGTGGGCGCGGCGGCGGGGCGGGGGCGGCCCGGCACGCCTCCTCGTCGTGTACGGCCGCGCCTCCACGGCATCGTCCCCGCCGCGCATCGACCTCCACGCGTTCGACGCCGGCGCCTCCGCCGTCGCCGCCGACCCCCTGGTGAGCGCTCCCCGTCCGTCCTCCCGCACGCGCGCGCTCCGGCGGCGTTGTCTGCTCTTCGCGTACGTTCGGTCTGAGCTTGAGTCGCGGCGTTGCGTTTGTGCTCGCGGGTTTTCGCAGGTGAGCTTCGTGATGGGACACGAGGAAGACGACGCCCCGCGCGCGATCGCCGTGCACCCGAGCGGCGACGAGTTCGTCTGCGCCACCGCGAAAGGGTGCAGGTGAGTTCTGAATCGCTCCCGCTAACTCAGACACTCATTCTGATCAGCTTGATTTGCACTAACTTTTGTCAGAGTTTATACTTGCTGTTGCTGATAAAAAGCTCATGTTTCATACTCCCAAATCACTTGAAATTCAGATATACCTGTCAGCGTTGTTAGATCATCAGCCAACTACTGTTGTAGGTTATTCAAGCTGGTGACTGAAGAATCCAGTGTTCACCTTATTTCAAAGGATGCTCCAACTCTGCAATCAATTGGACCTCAGAAATGTCTGTCATTCAGTACAGATGGTGCGAAGTTTGCTGTTGGTGGTGAGGTACCGTGTTATCCAATCTGTTTATTATGCACTTCGCTCTTTGTCAGTAGAATCATAACTTCAGATTCTGCAGTCACAAGTTTGGCTTCTTAATTCTTATACAAGGTTTCCTGATACCATTTTTTCTGGCAACTACAGGATGGGCATCTTAGAATATTTCATTGGCCAGATCTGAATTTGCTTCTGGGTGAACCAAAAGCTCATAAATCTTTCAGAGACATGGACATTAGGTGAGAAAAAGCAGAAGCATTGCCTATTCTTTTGACAAACATAAGCATAAATCGACAGAATCCTCCTTGACATTGTCCATAAACTGAATTAGTCATATCAATATCATTCAATATGTTGCATTGCACAAGTAACAAGGTAGTTTTAAATATAGGCTCTGCCTAAGAGTTACTTTCTTGGGTGTAAGGATAATTACTGCCCAACGTTTTTAACATAACTTTATTTCACAAAATAAAGTCATTTTGGCAGATTTGGATCTTTATATTGTTCCTCCTTCTTGCAGCTTAGACTCCGAGTTGTTAGTCTCAACATCCACTGATGGTTCTGCAAGAATATGGAATATAGATGAGGGAGCGCCGCTTGTCAATTTGAGTAGATCTTCGGTATCGTATGATAAATTACTGCACTTTTCTATTTTGGTAGTTGAAACTGAGTCATTTATTTGACTCTCTTGTTTATATTTGTTCCCCCCTTTACAGGATGAGAAGATTGAGTGCTGCTGCTTTTCTAGGGATGGAAATAAACCTTTCCTGTTCTGCACACTTGTGAAAGGTAATATATTCCATAACTCTCAATAGGATGTTAATATGTGCACCACCAGCCACTTTAATCAAATCCTTATTGCTTGAATAGGTCATAACGTTGTGACTGTGGTTTTGGACATAAGTAATTGGAAGAGGATCGGGTACAAGAGGCTTTTGGAAAAGCATATCTCCACACTTTCAGTAAGCTTGGATGGAAAGTATCTCGCATTGTAAGTTCATTGTTTCTGCCTCTTACTGTCACATGCCATACACTCATCCTGACTATAGCAATACTGTTATGTAGCATTTGAGAGCCTTTTTATGGTGTTATGGACTGGTCATAATAGGGTAGTTTCCATTTCTCGCATTTCTCACCACTCAATCACTCATCCATATTGATGTATACTTCTTTAGCTGACTTCTCCTTTTGACAAATTTATGCATGTTCTTAGAGAGAATTTACAGAATACTTGCACATCATTATATTTATGCATGTTCTGACAAAGCTGTGGCTGATGACATTTGTTTAGTCTCATATTTCTGGAAAATTACAAAAAAAATGTATATAGTAGTGGGGAGGGTACCAGAAGTGTGTTCAATTGACTGAAGAACTTGTTAGCTGGCCACCTCATAATTAATCATTATATGTTATTGTTACTCTCTTGGGGAGTTAGATATTGAAAGAAACCTAGATACCTGTTTTGTTTTGATAAAAATAAAAGGAACATATACACTTGCTATTCTACTTCACCTTCAAATTTGACACGTGTCTGAAATCCTAAATCTGTTGCTGTATGTGCATTAGTTCATAATCTTCTTTTCGTACATATTTTATATTTTTGGATGTATTTTCACCCTTTGTTATTAGAGGAAGCCATGATAGTGATTTCTGCGTTGTGGATGTTAAAAAGATGGAAGTTTTGCACTTGAGCAAGAAGGTTCATCTTGGCTCTCCAATTTCATCAATTGAATTTTGTCCTACAGAAAGGTAATTATAACCATTGGTCTTTGTTGGAAGAAGTAGTGAGACAAACCGAAAATCTCTAGCAGTAAAATAGTTGGCTTCACTAAGCATCCAAGCACTTAGTAATGGTCTCTGGTTGTACCAATGTTGAAATTTTTAGCAGTAAATTGTCTTCACTAGTAATTTGTTCAGTGCTAGAATTCTTGAAGATACTCTGAAGATCCAGCATTAAGGTATTAGATTGCCCACATGCCTTCTCAACATGTTAAAAAATGGATCACACAACACGATGGTAGGTAGATAAGCGAGCTATGGTATCAGCATTATGCATGGCTAATTTGCATATACATGGGGGCAGGATGGAGCAAGATTTGTCCTCCACCAGTTCACCTTGCCCCTGAAATTTAAAAGGAAATTGTGGATTGGTTTTACTCTGCATTTCTGCAGTCTGCACTGCAATTGCAGATCCATATGTGAATGAAGATTTGTCACATCAACTCTGTTCATAAGCAAACATACGGATGCTTAATGTTGTTTTCTGAAATTACTGTACATTTTGGATGGCAATGCTGCAGATTTTTGAAGTACTGCTGGATAGTTACAGTAGCAATTGTCTGCTTGTATTGCAGGGTTGTAATCTCCACTTCTCATAAATGGGGAGCAGAGGTAACGAAACTTGATGTTCCTACTGATTGGAAAGGTACACGTTTCTGTCAATGGATTGAGTTTTGTCCTCTGTAAGTATTTACCAATATGTTTTTTTTTCCCCTGCAGTGTGGCAAATGTGGTTAGTACTCTCGTGTCTGTTTGTCACGTCGGCCATCCTATTCTATGCGTTCTTCAAACACGTGGTCCATTTGGAACCCTAAAGAACAGAATCTGGAGGAGAAAAATCATAAGTTTCTGACGATCAGAAATTCAGAATCCATTGTAACACCAGCATGGCTAACAGCGATAGCTCCATTGTCATGATGAGCGCTTGCTCTATTTGCCACTATTCATTTCTGATGACTATTTGCCATTATTCCTTTCTAATGACTGTTCACCTGTTCCAATTTCCAACCCTTAATCCCTGAAAATATTGTCATCAGAGCTTTGTGCCTGAATTTATTTCACAATTTTTTATCGCTCGATAAGTCAATACATAACAGAACTGTCTCTTTCATGACGATGAATGACTGAATGTATCTCCGACCACAATAAATCAAAGGCGTTTGGTCTTTATCACTGTGTCCATTTCGACTGATACTGACAACAACTATGACTCCTGTACTGGATCTGATAAGCTGTTAACGTTCCAAAATTTGTTGTCCTCTTTATTTCCAAGACCCAACAAATTTGTTTATGTGGACTCTAGAGCATGCTTTGCAATCTGATTCTGGGATATCTGACGTTGTCGGCACATCATTTACAGGTCATCTGACACTGTGAGGTGTGAACAATTTTCTGCAGTCCCGCAGCCAGGGAGAGCCCATGTTTGGTCACAACATTGTCACACAGGGATAAGAATGAAACAGAGATCTGCTTTTGACTGGTAAACTCTGCTTCTGTGATTGGTTAGACTAAACCTATCCTGTACTAACAGTTTCTTCTTTCTTCGTGTGGACAGTGCCGACGAGCATCTGCACGCGTGCGTGGACTAGCAGTCCAGACTCAGGAGACTTGTTGCAGCTGTGCCGCATGCTTCCATTTCCTACTGTTCAACTTGTGAGCTGTGAGACTTTTGGGGCCTGTTCCATTGCTCTCAAGGTATCTTTCATCTCCTGAATAGCATTCTTGAATCGCATGCGGCTGAATGCTGATGCTGATGCTCCATGGGATTCACAAAATGCACAATAGTGGAGTTGACATGAGATCCTACTGCCATTACTGTAGTTTACTGCATTTTCTGCTCATGAGTGAATGACAGGCATCACATCCTTTTCCCTTTTAGGGGGTGTTTAGATATGTAAAGTTTTGGTGTCACATCGGGTATTATATAGGGTGTCGCATGGGTGTTCGAGCACTAATAAAAAAACTAATTACAGAATCCGTCAGTAAACCGCGAGACGAATTTATTAAGCCTAATTAATCCGTCATTAGCAAATGTTTACTGTAGCACCACATTGTCAAATCATGGAGCAATTAGGCTTAAATGATTCTCATAAATTAGTCGCAATCTGTACAATTAGTTATTTTTTAGCCTATATTTAATATTTCATGCAAGTGTTCAAACGTTCGATGTGACAAGGTGAAAAATTTTAGGGTGGAATCTAAACAAAGCCTAATGCTACTACTTCATGGATTGTGTCCACCCTTCATCAATTACTGTACTCCAAGTAATCCAAGTACAGAAACAGGAGCTGCACAGCACTTCCAAAATGTGTGACTTGCTAAAAGCCTAAATTGCCACTGCAAGCTAGAGACAGATGCTAGATGACAATCTAGAAGAGAGATAAGTGCAAGAGCCTGTCATTTTCAGTTGAGGTGTCTCCGTGTCTGATGTGAGGGCAAGTACAAAGGCAGAGACCGGTATGGTCTCTACGTTAATTAGAGGCTATCATGTTACAATAGTTAAGACAATATGGTCTCTAACCATTAATGTATTAAAATACTTTCTTACTAGTCATCTTTCTTTTATTAGACTCAATGCAACAAAAAATTTTCTAATAAATGCTAAGAGTCGATTCTATGCCATTGTCATGCGTAGCAACCATCTTTCTCTTTCCTTCTTTCTCTCTCTTCCACGTCACAAAATATGTTTGTATGACAATAAAGAGAGACCGCTAATAAAAACCATTGTACATGTCCTGATCTGTTAGGTTTTGCAATTGGTCAAGTTTATAGCATATTTATCAGTCCTAGATTTTATAGATAATGACGATATCAGAGTGGAAGGTGAAAAGGGAAAACGCAGTGGAAAAGTTCCATACTTCTGGTAGCACTTTCCACATACAAAAAGGAGAGGATTCCTCTCTTCTTTCGTTCCCTCGTGCTGCTGCTATGCCTATATCTCTTCTCATGTACCCTTCATATTATCTTCCATTTGCATTAAGTTATTATCTTCAAATGATTACTTCACAACTTTCTTTGCAAGCGTGAAGATTTGCATCAAACTGATCTCCTACATCTATATTGCACTGATTTGATCTACCACTGACAGAAAAGTTGTTTTTGTGCCTTTATGGTTGTGTACATTCGTTTTGTTCACTTGTCAGATAGCACTCAGATATTAAATGTGAAGTAAAGACGCCAACAACTTACATACACAATTATACATTGGATAATGTAAGAGTTATTAGAAGACCATAGCATGTGTTGCATGTGCTTAAGCCGCTATGATTAGCAAAGTTTGGCAAGGTTTTATTTGCTATTGCAAAAAAAATGAAAAAGGTAGTAGATTTGTGGGGCTGTGAAAGCTATATCCAATATGCATGTACCAGTACGACTCCACGTTTTCATGAAACTGATATGCATCTTTTTGTTTTTTTTTCTTCGATGGAAACTGACATGCATCATGTCGATCGATTTCAAGAAGGGAAAAGGAACTAATCTAAACAGTTTTTAAACACGCCGAATTCGACGCTTCTGGCTTTGGTGGCAGTCGTTTTCTCCATTATGATGAACATCTAAATAGCTGTACTTTATGTGCACATTTTCAATCTTATTTCAGTTATAGCCATTGCATATGATTGCTCTCAAGTGCAAATTTGTAGATACATATGGAATAATGGATAGTTAGAGATATTAATTAAGGAGAAGTCCATTCATTCGCCGTGGGCGTGTCAATGTGTCCTTGTCATTTCCGATCATGCATGTTTCGAGATCTGACTTTGCAAGTTGAGGCTGGTCGTGATCACCTAACGTCGGGGTGCCAAGGAAATAAATTACAGGTAACTGCCTATACATCATGTGATAGATTTTTTAACCTCCTATCACGCAGATTTCTTACACTTTAGATGAACATCTAACGGATGACATTAATATACACAAACAAAATACAAAACACCAAACAAACGGGCCATGTGGATAATCTGAAGCTCACGTGGGCTCAAATGGGCTCAAGTAGATTTCAGACTTACATCGTAAATATACTAACATTGAGTTTGAGGAGAAAGAGATTGAGAAGATACGCAAAACAAGGTAAGCCATTAGCGTATGATTAATTGAGTGTTAACTATTTTAAATTTAAAAAATTGATTAATATGATTTTTTTAAAGCAACTTTTCTATAAAAATTTTTTTACAAAAAACACACCGTTTAGTAGTTTGGGAAACGTGTGAGCGGAAAATGAAACAAACTCACTCTCTTTCTCCAGCTGCCGAACGCAGCCAAAATTACATATGTAATTATAGTGTAATTACGATGTAATTAGTACGTGTGGGATTATAAACAAATTAGCATTGGAAAACACGGCTCAAATCAATAATGATGGAGTCGGCAAGAATGCTACACGAATCTTGACACTATCCAACGTACATAAATCTGCAAGATATGGGACTCAAAAATCTGTCGCCAGACAGATAGCAATTCCGAAAAAGATATACGACTTTCTAGTTTATTGCATAGAAAAAAAATCAATTATGCTCATTCTAACTGAAATGTCATGCATATCTCCCCCATGATTTTTTTGGGCAAATCAATATTGTGCCACCCTTTTGAAGATAATTGTTGTCTAACAAAAAATATATGTATTGCTATATATATTGATAAAGATCTTTGAAGATCAGCATGTGTATTCCAGATTCCTATCTAGAAGCCATTTTTCAAACTTGTAAACATAGAAGAATGACTTGTACTCGAAAAGGTTATTCGTTTATTTCTCCAACTATCTGTATATACACACAAATACGTATCACTTTCCAGCACTTTAGACTTTTTTTCCCTAGCATATGAGCCCGATCGATCATGAAATATCTGTTGGCATTGTGGCATTGATGTGCACCGCATTTAGGGATACACGTAATTACTATCCGTCAACAATATAGTTAATGATGGATCAGTCGAGCCTATGCAACGAACAGCTTAACTAGCTAAAGCTAGCACAGTAATCTTTTTTTTAAAAGCAGATCAAGTAATTGACCCGGCTTTTTAAAGAAAGACCAGAGGTAAATATAGCACAATGATCTTTCATAGAAGAATCCGGTTCCCTAGTGTGATTGTAACTTAAGCAATAAGCACTCTAGAATAAAAAAAACCAGAAGGGTAAGGATGAAAACGATGATGGAAAGCGCCATCATTTTGGTACTATAGAATTAGTTTCTTAAATTTTAAGTGAATTACACTTTAGGCTAGTTATTTTTTCCTAAGTTACATGGTGGACCAATTATTGTCTTATGTTTTCACTTTTGACTGAATTCCTTACCATTTGTTGCACATTGGATCATATTGGACATTGTTGGTATCTCTTTGCCACCATGGCTAGCCGGTGAGGGATCACCAGTCCACAGCAAAGGACTTGAGCGTGTTCACTGCCTCATCAACTCTTAGCCTAAGATTCACGACACCACTTCTTTCTAGTGCTACTACTTTCTCCGTCCCATAATATAAGGATTTTGTAGTATTACGATGCATGACAGGACTCAGGAGCTTGCCAATATGAGGGCATGGATGATATAGTCAGCACAATGTGAGAAGAGGATCGCCAATCCAGAGAGACGAGAGAAGCTTTGTGTGCCATGTGGGGAAGACTAGTTTTGGATGAATCAGGTTAAGTAAAAAGGCTATTATAGGCACTAACACGTGGGGTTACTAGTCTAAAGTGCAAAGTATTTCTTATAAAATAAGTCTACTCCATTCATCCTAAAATAATTGGGGCAATTTTATTTCTGCCCCTACTTTAGTGTCCAATATTGATTCTACCATACTTTTTAGGGTTTTCGTTTTTGTCCCTACTTTTTTGAACCGAACAATATTTTTGCCTCTGTTTTGCATGGAGAAGTTAACGGTGTTAAATTCTTGGCAAAAGGACATTTATACCCTCTCATATCTCTATTCATTAATTGTGTTTTTGCCCCCATTTTATGCATGGCTTTGGAAATTTAAATTCTTGGCAAAAGGATATTTAAATGACCCACATTGACTAACATAACAACTTGCACAGATTCTGAATTTGATGGAATTTCTACAAAATTTCAGCATCATTTTGACAAATTGAACAAAACTTTGACAAAATTTCAACGACATCTCAGCAACCTTGCCCTCTCGGCCTTCACATCCAAGCCACCTGTAGGTCGCCGCCTG